TTATTGTTATTATTATTGTTACTTTTATTGTTATTATTATTGTTACTTTTATTGTTATTATTATTGTTATTATTATTATTAGTTTTATTGTTATTATTATTGTTGTTGTTGTTGTTATTATTATTGTTATTATTATTGTTATTATTATTTTTATTATTATTATTAGTTTTATTGTTATTATTATTTTTATTATTATTATTATTATTATTATTATTTTTATTAATATTAATAGTAATATTATTATTATTATTATTATTATTGTTGTTGTTGTTTTTTTTATCATTATTAAATTTATTATTATTAATATTAATACTAATATTATTATTATTATTATTATTATTATTGTTATTATTTAATTATTATTATTATTATTTAATTTTTATTTTTATTATTATTTAATTTTTATTTTTATTATTACTAGTTACAAGCTTGAGGGCTCTTCATCTCAATAATTCTCGTTTCGGCGCATTATATGTTGGCACTACTTTGCATTTGGCATCCAGTTGCTTGTCTTTTGCAATGTCCTCGCTTCTCTATTAGTTCCACATTCTTTTTAAGAATTAAGTACTTAGATCTTTCACATAATTTACTTTTTTTAATATAATTTGATTTTAATTAAATCTGATAGTTGAAAGTAAAAAAATACTAACAATTTATACCTACGAGAGAGAAACTTTCATTTCTTTTTGCACGAATGTTATTTTGTACACCCCTGTAATCATATATGCCTTTAGTGTGCCCGACTCTATATAACCAACGATTGTAAAAGACCTTTACTTGTTTATTTTTTATATTCGTCCATGATTTTAAATCATGATTCATTATTCTCTATAATATTTTTCTCTCATAAAAAATACATGTAAAATGAGAATAATTCTAAGTTATAATTCTAAATTCATTAACTAAACGTCCACTGATTTACACCTTTCACTTTACAAATTTAAAATTATGAAATAAGCACTATCACCGAGAAAATGAAGTTGTTTATTACAAAGAAGTTTATCAAAAACGGAATTTGTATGGATATGGTTATTTTTTAATTGTTAAGTTTGATTAAAATTAGATTAGATTGAAAAAAAATGTACATAACGAATAGTTTTTTATAAAATCAAACAATTGAAAACAAGAATTTTAATAGTTTATTTTTTTAGAATCTAAAAAAAAAAAGTCATTAAAAAACTTGCAAAAGCACGGAAATTCTCCTTTCTCAGTGCATGCCAAGCTAGACTGCAATAATAACACGTTGCCATGACATAAGAGGCCAAGGTACTCCATTATCAACAGCACTATTATTATCTGCAAATAAAGGTCCATCTCTGTATCTACATCGTTTTGTTTTTATTTTATTCAATCTAAAAGAAGCTCAATCATGTGTATTTTGATAATTTTTTATTTTGAAATGAAGTAGAGACATCTGATCTATTGAAGGAATATATATATATATATATATATATATATATATATATATACATACACATATATGCTATTAATGAGGAAACGGGATGATTCAGCTGAGCGACGTTATTTTATTTGTATTGAAATAATAATCACCTAGCAAATCCTTTTAAAATAATAGTAATAATAATCATAGTCATCTACCAAATAGTGATAGATTAACTAGTGCGTTTTGATAATACAAAGTTCATTAAGAGAAAAAAAGCCACCATTGTCTAGAATATTTTCTTGAAATATACGTGTCTATATATATATATATATTGTGCGTTGTGGAATATATAGCTTGGTAAATCTTATCATAAGACTCACATCATATGTTTAATTTTAGTGTATAAAATATTAGTGATTTAGGACTGGATAGAAATTAGAAAATATAAATAGAATTTGAATGAGTAAATGAGGAGGAGAAATAGAGCCCTAGGGACATAGTAGAAATTAGAAAATAGAAATATAATTTGGATATAAGAAGTGAATTAAGGGGAGAAATGGAGTGAGATAGACGTAGAAATAGTAGGAGAATAACAAATCAAGAGCAGGAAACATCGAACTAAATATTCATCAATCATCTTTAAATTGAAATTGCATTTATTAAGATAAACTCAACTAAATAATTTGAATATCCTAATTCTAAACAATTCTAAAGATAAATATAAATCTAATATTTTAAGATTAAACATTAAAGATTACTACACAAACTTAAATTAAATTCTAAACTTTGTTCCGTATTAATTACCTAATAAATCGCATCATGTCATATCATTTAAAAAATTTAAAATGATTTTCAACTTACTTTTTCTTGTTTTAATATTTTCATTAAATGACATAAAAAGACATGACTATAATTTAAAACACTAAAAATGAACAGATGAACAGATATATTAATTGGTCAGCAATTTATAAAACTAACATAGTTTGATACAGTTCTAACTGTTCAAAATAAAATTTTATCAATAAGGTATTTTCTACGTGGAATTATTATTTATATAAAGTTTTAGGGTCTGTTTAGTTCGTTGATTCGAGTTGAGATGTGACTTTATGTGAGAACCTTTGACTGTAGCAAAAAAGTTATATGTGACTATTTCTAAGAGTTTTTTATTGTAGTAAAACTTGAATTTTTTTACTCGAATCGGTAAAATAAACGAGACCTTAATCAAAAATATCCTATAGTTCGGTAAATATAACATTTTTTGTATCGATTTATAACTTATTTGTATAACATAGTCACGAAGTTTATCATAACAGAGTGAGTGGTGACACATTATATTTTACCAAGTGTCAGACATAGATATAAAATGAGTTTCATATGAAAAATACAAATGTTCATGACAAGTAAAAAACGTTACATTTCAGTTAAAGTGGAATATGTTAGAACCAGTTTGGTAAGTGTCCCTACGTCGCTAAATCAAAAGAAATCCTTTATATCTAAATTCCTTCCCAGATTTGATTGCCCCACTTGCTTTTGGTATCTTCGTTTGGATTCAAATTTTAAAAAGTTTGAATTTAAGTTATAATTTTATTTAAATTTATATTCGTTTATAAAATTTAAGTTTGAACTTGAGTTTTAATTTGAAATTTTAATTTAAATTTGAGGTTAAAATATGAGTAAAATTTCTCGTTCAACTCAAGTTTCTGTCTGTTTAGTTCATTGATTCAAGTTTAGATGTGACTTATGTGAGAACTTTTTACTGTAGTAAAAAAGTTAGATGTGACTGTTTCTGAGACCTCGTTCACTTCGCGGATTCGAGTTTTCAATTCGAGATGAGATTGTGATATTTTCTAAGAGCTTTTCACTGTAGCAGAAAAAGTTAAATGTGACATTTTCTGAGAGCTTTTTACTGAAGAAACCTAAAACTGAAAACTCGAATTGGTGAAATGAACGGGGCCTTAATTTTTATTGTAGCAAAACTCAAATTTTAAACTCGAATCGGCGAAATGAACAGGATGTCAAACTTAAGTTAATGAACAATATTTTTTCTATTCTTAAAAACGCTATAACTTTTTCATTTTAATTCTGATTAAGATGCTTTTTTATGCGTTTACAACGAATAGACGAATAAAATCTCACTCATATACCATATTAAAATTTTTCATTATTATTGAAATTTTATTAAAATACTATCTAAATACAAACTAAAGTTTTGACCCACATAAACACAAATTTAAAAAAATTTCATCTCAAACTATAACTTAAATGTACACAACCAAACACAAACTAAAATTACAACTTCAACTAAAATTATAACTCAAATTCAATTTAAAATCTACACAAACATCTTAACTAAAAAATGCAACTCAACAAACACATTATAATCCCCAAAACACAAAACTAACAAAAAAGGGCAAAACCCTAGCCCAAAACCAGACAAACACCGGAGTAAAAAGCTCTCTCTCTAAAACCCTAACAACCCCTCTCTCTCTCTCTCTCTCTCTCTCTCTGTCCGCCATGGCCGCCGGCGTCTTCGAAGAGGACGGCTTCGCGGCCGAGAGGCTGTTCAGCCAGGGCTACTCCTACACTTACGACGATGTCATCTTCCTCCCTCACTACATCGACTTCCCCACTGATTCAGTCCGACTCGCTACTCAACTCAGTCGCAACATCTCCCTCTCCATCCCCTGCGTCTCCTCTCCCATGGACACCGTCACCGACGCTCACATGGCCGCAGCCATGGCCTCCCTCGGCGCCATCGGCATCGTCCACTCCAATCTCCCCGCCGCCGACCAAGCCGCACTCGTCCGCGCCGCCAAGGCCCGCCGCGTCCCCATCCTCTCCAGCCCCGTCTTCCTCTCCCCCTTCGACCGGATCGCCTCCGCCGACGACTTCGACTCCAAGCCCTACGTACTCGTTACCGAGTCCGGTTCCGCCAAATCGAAGCTTCTAGGTTTCGTTTCCAGGTCCGATTGGGAGAAGTTGCCGGAGAAGGAGGTCAAGGTTTTCGATTACATGGTGAATTCGTCGGATTACGTGCCGTGGAACTCCGATTTGGGGAGGATCGAGTCGTATTTGCAGGAGAAAGGGAGGGATTTGGCGGTTATGGTGAAGGACGACGAGGTATATTATTTCAAAAGTGTAATCTTTATTATTATTATTATTATTATCATTTCAAAGCAATCAGATAGTTATTTCATTTGATATTTTATGGTTGAGGATCCTTTTCATTAGAACTGTTTTAGGCGTTATTTTTTTTAATGATAATAATAATCTCGTTGTGCTTGTGTATTGGGAATTTTAAGAGGTAGATGTGGATAGTAGTAGAAATATATGGTTAATTTAATTACAAAACTATGAAAATGATGGCACAATAATAATAATAAACGAAGAAGTTTATGTTTTTCAAGTTGCTCAATTTTTGATTGGCGAAGAAGAGGCGATAACTGATAAGCTACTAAGGATCTTATTATACTATCCATGTTAGGTGGTCGATTTTGTGACGAAGGATGACGTGGAGCGGATCAAGGATTACCCGAAGTTGGGGGTCGGAACAGTTGGGGAAGATGGGAAGTGGATGGTGGGGGCGTCGATTGGGACGAGGGAGCAGGATAAGGAGAGGCTGCAGCATCTGGTGGGGGATGGGATCAACGTGGTGGTAATTGATAGTTCTCAGGGGAACTCCATTTACCAGATTGATTTGATAAAGCATATTAAGTTGAATTATCCCGGACTGGATGTGATTGGAGGGAATGTGGTGACCATCAGCCAGGCACAGAATCTGATTCAGGCTGGAGTTGATGGGTTGCGGGTCGGGATGGGATCTGGTTCCATCTGTACTACCCAGGAGGTTTGCGCCGTTGGCCGAGGACAGGTATATTGCTTCTTTTTTTCCTCTCTGTGGTGAACATTATTGAATGTTGATAGTTCACAGATTTTTTCGTCC